TAGCAGGAATTGGGTCTCATCGCTGGTGTCAGCAGGAGGAATAGTGTCTTGTATCAGTGGGAGGAAAAATGTTCCAAGGGCTGGATAAAGGCAAGCAAAGGGCCACATCTGGCCCCTGGGCCTCAGTCTGGAGACCACTGCTCTAGATCAAAATATAAATACAGACAGACATGTACACAAAGGAAAAAAAATAAACACTCAGGAGGCTGCAATCCTAAAGCAGAACTCCAAAACACAATGCTGTGTTATAGGGAGCATCTAGTAACTTAAATTGTACCCAATTAGTACCTTGAAAAATCTACCTTTGTAAATTCCTCCTGAATATTAGCATTGTACTTTCTGGTATGTGAGAATGCCCTCTTTGTATTGTATTGTAACTGTGCTGTCTCCCATTATATTGTAAAGTGCTGCGCAAACTGTTGGCGCCATACAAATCCTGTATAATAATAATAATATATAAATCCTGTATAATAATAATAATAATAATATATATAAATCCTGTATAATAATAATATATAAATCCTGTATAATAATATATAAATCCTGTATAATAATATTATATAAATCCTGTATAATAATAATATATAAATCCTGTATAATAATAATATATAAATCCTGTATAATAATAATATAAATCCTATATAATAATAATATATAAATCCTGTATAATAATAATATATAAATCCTGTATAATAATAATATACAAATCCTGTATAATAATAATATACAAATCCTGTATAATAATAATAATATATAAATCCTGTATAATAATAATAATAAAGCCTTATAGGAGGAGTGTGAGATCGAAGGCAATGCAGCCTCTGGCTAGTTTCAGGAAATTTGAAGGGAGATATGGGGCTGTCACTACTGTGCTGCTCACTGTTCTCCTTGCTGAAGGCTTTTTTGGAGAGTGACTGACTGCTTAACCGCTTGGCAACCACATCCCATAGGCTTTCCTGTAATGGATCACGCATCCAGTACATGATCCTGCACTTCTGGGTAGGGAGTACCGGTTGTGCTGTGATTAGTCATAAGCCGATCAGTGGGTATCAGCCAACGATTGACTGCTGGCACCCGCTGGTCAGCGAGGAGGAAAACAGGGCAGAGCTCTGTCCGGTCAATGGGGATGTGCTGAATTTTGTTTCCCTGCAAAGAAACCAGCACATCCCTTAGTGAAAGCACCTCACAGTACACACACAAACAATAGTTAGGCACACATTTAACCCTTTGATCGCCCTAGATGTTTAAACCCTTACCAGACAGTGTCATTAGTATAGTGACAGTGAATATTTATTTTAGCACTGATCACTGTATTAGTATCACTGGTTCTCACAAAGTGTCAGTTTGTGTCAAATTGCCCACAATACTATCGCAGTCGCTGATCACTGACATTACTAGTGTATAAAAAAATTTAAATTCCAGTATATATCCCATAGTTTTTAGACCCTTTAACTTTCACACAAACCAAATCAATCAATATACGTTTCTTGGGATTTTTTTTTTTACCAAAAATATTTAGAAAAAATACATTTTGGCCTGAACTTATGAAGAAATTTGTTTTCTTTTTATTGGAAAAAAGTTTTATAGCAGAAAGAAAAAAAAATATTTAAAAAAAAAAAAAATTGGTCTTAATTTATAGCGCAAAAAATAAAAAAAACCCAGTGGATGTCAAATACCACCAAAAGAAAGCTCTATTAGTGTTAAAAACAATTATCTAAATTTAATTTGTGTACAGCGTTGCATGACTGCACAATTTGTCAGGTAAAGTAGTGCAATGCCAAAAAAGCAAAAAAAAAAAAAAAAAATGGCCTGGTCATGAAGGGGAGTAAATCTTTCGGAGAACAAGTGGTTAAAATACAAGTCACTGCTTTGACAAGAGCGTCTTTGTAGTCCGACATGTAGCTCTGCCCGTACCTTGATAGAAATTGGCAGATATTTGTCTCCAGGACCCAAAAGGCAAGCATTTTATGAAGGAGACACAATGTTCTCAGACTACGATTGCCTGGATTTGGCTCTAATTCTCCGTGTCCAACAGGTATATGGTTTGCTATACACAATTCATACATGAAAGCTGCAGTTTTAAAATGACATTGGTGTTAACACTTCAAATTAAATTCCAATAATTATTGCTTTGTTTTGATAAGAGTGCTGAATGTTCTGCTCTGTTAGGCTTCTATTATAGGTGTGCCCCCCACCCCCCCCCCCCCCCCCGGGAGGTGACAGGAAATGAGAAGTAAGAAGTTCAAAGTGAGCAGAAAAAGAAAATAAAACTTCCCTCTGACAGCTATCACTGGATACCTGCAATGGCAGCTTTCTGCTCTCCTTCTGTATGGCTGCCAGCTCTGGGATATTTCTCAGTGATCGCTTTTACCCAAAGTTACCATAAAATGTCCCTAATGGGGTCACAGACAGCAAATAACATGACATAGGAGCGAACCCTGACCCTTTTCAAGATCCAAAATATATGTCTAAGCTGATACCCAAGTATTGGAGGAGACCGGAGGTGCCGGAAATAAAAGACTGGGCGGATAGGTGGATCAAATATGTAAATTGAAGGAACTTGAATGAAGATAAGATGGAGACTCACCATACAAGATGGAACAAATGGAGGAATTCAAAATGTCAAGGCTAGCCTTAGAGGTTATGGGGGATTAACATAGAATAATATAGAAACATATTTTGTTCTTTTATAGAGATTACGATCTCCAGAAATGAACAGGAAAATACAAAGCAGAAGGGGTTAGGGATTGGATGGTGGGGGGGGGGGGGGGGGGGGGGGAGGGTGGGGTGGTATATAGGTAGGGAGGGGTGAAACGATAAATGTTTCGATACTATGCTAAGGTTTTAATGAGTATGTTTGTATAACTTGTTTATCTAAAAAATGAATAAATATTTAAATAAAAAAGAAAAAACATTTTTTTTATATATACACCTGTATATATATATATATATATATATCTCTAAGAAACACAAAAAAAGGTTCCACAGCAAAACATGCAATTCTTAAAAGTGGAACTAAATGCACCAGTTTAATAGTTTCCCAAAACGGTACATGCAAGGCACGCCATGAATGAGAACTGTCATGGGTATTTCTACACGTAACCAACCAAATGGCTGGATAGCTGATCACGTGCAGCACCATGGCAGCTGCATATCTAAAGAGAGGCTAAGATGGCAGCTTCCTTGGCTGCAATGAACGGGAGGGTTTAGTTCCACTGAGTGGTCTGCTATAAGCCCCGATCAGAATCCAACACATTTATCCCCCCCCCCGTTCACACCAATTTTGTGATTTGTCATGCCATCTGACAGTTCCAAATTGCATGACAAGTCGCACCCTGTTTGTGTCTATGGAACCGCAAAAAAGGGGAAAAAAAAAAAAAAAACTGGTGAAACTCCAACTTTGCGGTGCAGCATAGCTTTTGAAAAAAGGTTCCTGCACTATTTTTGGCCAATTTCATGAGGAACTTACAAAGACATCTGTGCATGAAGTCAAAACAGATGTCAGGCAAGACACAGATGAAATCGCACTGACCAGTTGCTTGAAATCTCATTTAGTCCCCGTTCACACCAATGCGATTTGACAGTTCAAAATCGCATGACAAGTCGCACCCCATTTGTGCCTGTGGAGCCGTTAAAAAAAGGGGGAAAAAATTGTGAAACTTCAACTTTGCGGTGCGGCACAGATTTTGAAAAAAGGTTCCTGCACTATTTTTTTTGACAATTTTATGAGCAACTTGCAAGTTGAAGTCAAAACAGATGTCAGGCAAGCCGCACATAAAATTGCACTGACCAGTTGCTTGAAATCTCGGTTAGTCCCTGTTCACACCAGTGCGATTTGACAGTTCAAAATTGCATGACATGTCGCACCCCATTTGTGCCTATGGAACCGTAAAAAAAAAAAATTGGTGAAACTCCAACTTTATGGTGTGGCATAGATTTAGAAAAAAAGGTTCCTGCACTATTTTTTTTGAACAACTTGCAAAGACATCTGTGCATGAAGTCAAAACAGATGTCAGGCAAGCCACACATGAAATCGCACTGACCAGTTTGTTTGAATTCTCATTTAGCCCTGTTCACACCAATGCGATTTGACAGTTCAAAATTGCATGTCAAGTCGCACCCCATTTGCGCCTATGGAACCAATCAAACCCGACTTGGAAAAGGGTTCCTGCGCTATTTTTGGCGATTTCATGCGCGACTTGCATTGACATCTGTGCATGAAGCCGCACATGAAATCGCACTGACCGGCGGGTTTGAAATTGCGCTACTTCAGCCAATTTAAAAGTCGCATTCGGTGTGAACCAGTGGCAACATCTGAAACTTACAGTTAGGAGAAGGAACCCATCATGTCTAAGACAACTGTTAAAGAATAATGGGAAAAACTGCGAACTGAGAAGTACAGACGTTCTATTCGGAGCTGCACATAGCATTTGATTGCAGCTGTTGCATGAAGGTGTGTGAGGAAACATCAGGTAAGAGGTAATAATAATGATGTCCATACCACTTTACCAACATTCTGCCCTTTAAGGGGATCTTACACCGGAAGGCAGGCTATCGATACTATGAGCACTGTGCCTGGCTGTCACCAGTGGTGTATTTAGGTTTTGTGCTGCCCTAGGAAACAAAAAAAAAAAAAAAAAAAAAAAAATCTGTGGGCACGCCAGGAGAATCCAGCGGCGCGCTGTCTTCCCGGCTGTAGTGTGCGTGACAGCCGGGTCCCAAGTGCGCATGCACAAGAAGCAGTGCTCTTTGTGAATGGTAAGGCGGTACCTGGGACACATGACAGATCCCAGAAGCCGCCGGACCAATCACAAAGCGCAGCGCTTCTCGGGCATCCGGCTGTCCGCCCACACTACAGCCGGGAAGACAACGCGCGGCTGGATAAAGGAACAGGTAAGATAAAAAAAAAAAAAAAAAAACTGCGGAAGTAAGAGCAGGTACCTGTCAAATTCAGGTACCCGCTCCCCCTCCCTCCCCAAAGGTCAGCAGTCATCCCTGTGCTGTCCGCAGTCTCTGGTCATCCCTGTGCTGTCCGCAGTCTCTGGTCATCCCTGTGCTGTCCGCAGTCTCTGGTCATCCCTGTGCTGTCCGCAGTCTCTGGTCATCCCTGTGCTGTCCGCAGTCTCTGGTCATCCCTGTGCTGTCCGCAGTCTCTGGTCATCCCTGTGCTGTCCGCAGTCTCTGGTCATCCCTGTACTGTGTCCGCAGTCTCTGGTCATCTCCTGTACTGTGTCCAGCAGTCTCTGGTCATCCCTGTACTGTGTCCGCAGTCTCTGGGCATCCCTGTACTGTGTCCGCAGTCTCTGGTCATCCCTGTACTGTCCGCAGTCTCTGGTCATCCCTGTACTGTCCGCAGTCTCTCTGGTCATCCCTGTACTGTGTCCGCAGTCTCTGGTCATCCCTGTACTGTGTCCGCAGTCTCTGGTCATCTCCTGTACTGTGTCCGCAGTCTCTGGTCATCTCCTGTACTGTCCGCAGTCTCTGGTCATCCCTGTACTGTGTCCGCAGTCTCTGGTCATCCCTGTACTGTGTCCGCAGTCTCTGGTCATCCCTGTACTGTGTCCGCAGTCTCTGGTCATCCCTGTACTGTGTCCGCAGTCTCTGGTCATCTCCTGTACTGTGTCCGCAGTCTCTGGTCATCCCTGTACTGTGTCCCACATCTCTGGTCATCCCTGTACTGTGTCCGCAGTCTCTGGTCATCCCTGTACTGTGTCCGCAGTCTCTGGTCATCCCTGTACTGTCCGCAGTCTCTGGTCATCCCTGTACTGTCCGCAGTCTCTGGTCATCCCTGTACTGTTAATTAGTTTGCACTACTGTACGAGTTGTTTTTTCTAAACCAAAAGCTCGATATTCAGGTTTCATTGCTGTGTTGGCATTTGAAAGAAATAAGTTGGTTTTGGGTTGCAGTTTGGGCACTCGGGCTCAAAAAGGTTCGCCATCACTGGTATAGACGTATAAATGATGTCAATCAGAGGTCCCTCTTATGGGTTGTATAATGAGGTCTGGTCATAGGGAATAACAATCCTTCCTCCGGGCTGGGTGTGATCTGGGTCCTGAGGGTTTAAGTGCTCATGGTAGAGCAAAAAATCAGCAGCACAGGCTACTTTTTACCTGATTATCGACAGAGCTTTTTAGCAACCTTGATCATTTGCTGGATTTTATTTGGATCATTTACATGTGTGTACACCATTTTTTACCCTTGATTAATTTCTCAATAAATTACAAGTTTACTACACTATGGGATCCCCTATTTTTTGCTCTACCATGAGCACTTAAACCCTCAGGACCCAGATCACACCCAGCTCGGATGGAAGGATTGTTATTACCCCTATGAGGTTCCATTGAGGGGAGATCTCCAGGCTAATGTTTATAACCAACGCGCACTAAGATTGCGCTTCTGGTGAGTTTGCAATCCCACTAATCTGTTGCACACCACCGGATGATCACCATTTCTCACCTTATGGTATATTTCTGATTCCCAGATTATTTACGCACAGCCTGCTGGGATTTCATTTTGAATAACACCTTCACGCCATAAGGGCTAATAAAAGGGGGACTTATATGTGTTTTTTATTGATTTCTGGTTTTTAGATTTTTATCAGACACTTATCAGTTTTATCACATGCGCTGCCCTTTTTCTTTTTCTGTTTTATTAGGCAAATGCCTTGTTTGCCTTGTGGTAAATACGCCTCTGGCTGTCACTAGGATTACAAACCTGTCCTACCAGCTTGCGATTACGAACTGTGACTAGAAGCTGCAGGCAACATCATGGTCAAAGTGCTGGGGGCGCCTAGTAATCTTGCTCCCAGCACAAAAACAGCAGTGCCGGACGTACACATATGCACATACAGCAATCCACTTCACGAGGCAAAATCAAACCCCCCAACCGCTAGACCAGTGGCTGTAAACTTATGAGCTATAGGGGGCCTCAATTACGGCTCCTGACATCACAAAGGGGCCACACATCATATACCAAAGACGCTTACGCATGCAGCACTCAGGCCCCAGAGGTAGTCTTGTTGCCTCCCCCTTCAAGATGTCATCACGTTACTGGAACAAAATGAGGCCTCTACTTTTTGACAGCCAATTGGAAGTGTGATGTCACAAAGGACATTCAAAGGAGGATTCTTCCATTCCCCAGAAGAAAGAGGACTCTGGATCTGGCATGTCAAGTGACTGTGGATTTAGGTAAAACCAAAAGGGGGAAAAAAAAAACAAAAAACAAAAACCCAAAACAACCCCCCCCCAAAAAAAAGAAAAAATACAAAAAAGAAAAACCCAAAAAAAAAAAAAAAAAAAAAAAAGAGAAACCCCAAAAAAAAGCCAAAACACAAAAAAAGAAAAAAACCCAAAAAACATAAAAACCCAAAAAACAAAAAGAAAATACCCCCAAAAAAACCAAACCCCCCGCCCCCGAAAAAAAAAAAACCCCAAAAAACAAAACCAAAAAAACCCTTTACATTAATTAAAAGGAGGCACGGTGAGATAGGTGGATTAAAATTTCTTATGACAACAGGTTCAAGCTAATGCCATGCGGCAGTACTGGGAGGGTCACCCTACAGGATCTAAATAATGGATGTTGAACAAGAGATTCTTTCTACAAAGTCACATGATTGGTTAGCCTTGGGATGCAAAACATATTACCTGTTCAAACAGCATTAGCACTTTCTAATCGAATGCCCTTCTCTTCATTATCCAGCCATGTCTGACCTGCGGTATTTTTCTCAAATATTTGTGCAGCCTCAGAGCAAACAAAGCCGGCTCAATAGACATGATTACACAACCAGGGACACACCAGGAGACAGTCTACAAGGCAAACACTAAATCTTTGGCGGCAGATAATTGACAGGCTGGAACAGCTTTAATTATTTTCTATGGAATACAATTGTCTCAAATCAGGTATTACTGAGATCTCCAGGGAAGATATCAACTGATACTACCAGAAACGTGCATCCCTCAAGCTCTGGCTTCGATGTGAAATTAAAGTCGATCTGAAACCAATCGTTAAAAATGTTACGTTGACCATACACTTGGAAAAAAAAAACCCCACAGACATTACTCTATTCATGCTGCACAGCACGGATGGAGGATTCTCCACCTGCAGTTATTGAACAGCAGGGGTCTCCAAACTTTACAAAGGGCCAGTTTACTGCCCTACAAACGTCATGGGGGCCGGACTGTGCCCAGTGGGAGAAGAAAATGTCCTGCCTTCTGTGCAAGTAAATGTCTCACCATTTTTATTAGGTGGAGGAACGGTGCCCCATCATTGGTGTCAGTGGGAGGAACGGCGGTGCCCCATCACATCAATGAGAGAGGAATAGCGCCCCATCGTCAGTATCAATGAGAGGAATAGCGCCCCATCACATCAATGAGAGGAATAGCGCCCCATCACATCAATGAGAGGAATAGCGCCCCATCGTCAGTATCACTGAGAGGAATAGCGCCCCATCACATCAATGAGAGGAATAGCGCCCCATCGTCAGTATCACTGAGAGGAATAGCGCCCCATCACATCAATGAGAGGAATAGCGCCCCATCGTCAGTATCACTGAGAGGAATAGCGCCCCATCACATCAATGAGAGGAATAGCGCCCCATCACATCAATGAGAGGAATAGCGCCCCATCACATCAATGAGAGGAATAGCGCCCCATCACATCAATGAGAGGAATAGTGCCCCATCGTCAGTATCAGTGGGAGGAATGGTGCCCCATCGTCGTGTGTCAGTGGAAGGAATAGTGCCCCATCGTTGGTGTCAGTGGGAGGAATAGTGCCCCATCGTTGGTATCAATGAGGAATAGTGCCCCCATCGTCGGTATCAATGAGGAATAGTGCCCCAACGACGGTGTCAGTGGGAGGAACAGTGCCCCGTCGTCGGTATAACTGAGAAGCATAGTGCCCCATCGTCGGTATCAATGAGGAATAGTGCCCCATCGTAGGTGTCAGTGGGAGGAATAGTGCCCCATCGTAGGTGTCAGTGGGAGGAATAGTGCCCCATTGTCGGTGTCAGTGGGAGGAATAGTGCCCCACTGTTGCGGATAGTGGGAAATGGGGGGTTTAACGCTCAAAGGGTCAGAAAAAAGCAAGCAGTACAGTGTGATTCAAAAAATGCCCCATCGTGTTGATGTCAGTGGGAGGAATAGTGCCCCATCGTCGGTATCAATGAGGAATAGTGCCCCATCGTCGGTGTCAGTGGGAGGAACAGTGCCCCGTCGTCGGTATAAATGAGAAGCATAGTGCCCCATCGTAGGTGTCAGTGGGAGGAATAGTGCCCCATCGTAGGTGTCAGTGGGAGGAATAGTGCCCCATCGTAGGTGTCAGTGGGAGGAATAGTGCCCCATTGTAGGTGTCAGTGGGAGAAATAGTGCCCCATTGTAGGTGTCAGTGGGAGGAATAGTGCCCCATTGTAGGTGTCAGTGGGAGGAATAGTGCCCCACTGTTGCTGATAGTGGGAAATGGGGGGGTTTGGGAAAAAAACGCTCAAAGGGTCAGAAAAAAGCAAGCAGTACAGTGTGATTCAAAAAATGCCCCATTGTTGATGTCAGTGGGAGGAATAGCGCCCCATCGTCGGTATCAATGAGAGGAATGGCGCCCCATCATCAGTATCAATGAGAGGAATGACGCCCCATCATCAGTATCAATGAGAGGAATGACGCCCCCATCGTCGGTATCAATGAGAGGAATGACACCCCCATCATCAGTATCAATGAGAGGAATGACACCCCCATCGTCGGTATCAATGAGGGGGAATGACGCCCCATCGTTGGTATCAATGAGAGGAATGACGCCCCATCGTCGGGTCAGTGGGAGGAATAGCGCCCCATCGTCGGTCTCAGTGGGAGGAATAGTGCCACATCGTGGTGTCAGTGGGAGAAATAGTGCCCCACTGTTGCTGATAGTGGGAAAGGAGGGGTGGGGTGGGGTTAACGCTCCAAGGGTCGGAAAAAAGCAAGCAGTACAGTGCGATTCAAAAAAGGATGGTGCAAAAATAATGCTGATTCAGTCATGACAGAGTGAACCTAACCAACTATATGGGCAGCACAGTGGCTAAATGGTTAGCACTTCCGCCTGGCAGTACTCGGGTCGTTGGTTCGAATCCCAACCACAGCACCACCTGCCTGGAGTTTGCATGTTCTCCCTGTGACTGTATGGATTTCCTCCGGGTTCTCCAGTTTCCTCCCACACTCCAAAGACATGCTGGTAGGTTAATTGGCTCCTGTCTAAATTGTCCCTAGTATGTGTATGTATGAATGTGAGTTAGGGCCCTTAGATTGTACACCCCTTGAGGGTTAGGGACTGATGTGAATGTACAATATATATGTAAAGTGCGGAGTACATTGACAGCGCTATATAAGTACCTGAAATAAATAATAACTGTATTATGAAAAAAGGCACATCAATCTCCCTCTTAGATTTAAAGCTCTGACGAGCAGGGCCATCTGATTCCTCGTGTCAAATTGTATTGTAATGTCAGCCTTCATTTTGTAAAGAGCTGAGCAAACTGTTGGTGCTATTTAAATCCTTTATAATTACAATAATTTACTGTCCAAGCTTTACCTCTGCACTACACATTTGATGTGAGCCCTGTTGGTGACATAACAGATAAAAAAAAAA